AAGAAATTAATATTCGCTTTATGCGCGAGGGTCGCAGGATACGAGCCGGGAAACAGTAGAGATTACACAGGTCGGCGTTCTATTAAGTTGAAAAAACGAATGGACCGACCGAGGAAATGAATAAAAAATGGACTTGATGTCAGGCCGTTGGAAAGAAAAAAAGCCGTATCTCCGGATTCGGGATTTTTAAATTACTTATCTTCTACCATGACCGGGATCCCAGGCTACGTAAAAAGAACGGCCTGAAATTCTCGTTAACGCATTAATCTTCTTGGATTCTTTCCCTCTCTCGCTTGAGTCATTTTTTGCGACGACTCCATGACAGCCGAGTACGATTTTCGGACATCACCGAACGTCCCGCTCGATTCGAGATTTTTTACAAATTGCAGCATGTAACGTTTGCGAGATGTTGAAATGCTGGATTTTTTCTGCCTCGTAACAATGGGAATCAAGTCTATCAAACGTTGAGTGCTCTTTTAATTAAGGCTGTATTTATATTCAATAAAATAAATCTAAATGTTTAAATACATGACATTTGCTATGTCATTGTTACTAATGTAACATTTAAAAAATGAATCTAACTTCTCTTGAAATACTATTTCTTCTAAACATATTAAACGTATAGATCAATCAAGGTTACAAATAAATGATTAAATCTTTAGTTAGTGCAATTGGCAATTATTGATTTTTTATTTGATTTGATTAACAATTATTATTATTTAATTAGCTTGACTGATAAAAATTCGAATTAGTGACTGAATTTTAGTTTTTAATTAGAGAAGAATAATTGTCGATTCAGATTTAGAGAATAGTTAATTGTTGCGGTAATTAAAAAATCTACGACCCTGATACCAATAGTAGTTGGACGATTATCTATGACTGATCGATGAAGTGAGAGTTCAGTTCGTAGATTTATGAGAACAGACATTCCACATGAAAAATACTAACAGTGGAGAAACTGTAACATGATACGAAGCAATTTTTTACGCGATACGTCAAAGCGTGTTGCACTGTAATTTCCGTAGCTTTAATAGCACCCGCTGCTGAAACGTTTTAATTAGATGCGACACAGTGTGGTTGATGTTATTTAAACGATCGTTTTATTGCTCCACCAGCACGCCGCGATGAAACTTGATTTCGCAGTTTCTTTCTTGCGAAACTTTTATACATCAAAAGTTCTAATTGCTTGAATCTCTTGTGGTGGAACATGGAACAGAACATCGGAATATTTAAGAACCAAAAATGTATTCATCTACGGTGGAAATTATCTTTATGAATCTAGATTAGAATTTGATTTATCGATTCATCTGTAGAAAACAAGCACGAAATAAAGTTATCATCTTTCTTATACCAAATTATTGTACCAAACCTTTTATTATCATCTTCCTTATATCAAATACATTATACAATATATATCATTTTATTGAAGTTATTAATAACAATGCAAATGTTTTCTAATATCATTTTAAATATTATCTAGCTTCGTCTTAAACATTAATTTATTGAACCATTCATCCGACTGCCACTTTAACAAAATAATAGATGTTAATTTTTCTCTCTTTCAAGTTTCACTATTTGAAATCAGAGAACGGGTTTAAGCATGCTGATCCGTGGTTATTAGACGACAAGATTGAGCTACCTGTCAACCTTTCCGTGGGAAAAGCGACAGGAAAGGTAGGGATAGAGGGATCGAAGTAGCCACGACCCTTTCCATTTGCAAATTAAACGGCCACGTCCTTGATTTCAATCCGTGAAACCCAATCTCAGCTTTTCCATTGTACCTTGACTTAAGCCCGGCAACTAGGCGTTTAATCTTAATCGATCTCTCGGAAGGCAGATATATATTCGCCTCCCTTTCTGCTAGAACGTTGCCCGCGACCTTCCTTTTTCTCCTTTAAACCATCCACCATCTTGGCTTCCTTTCAGAAGAGGCGACCGTCTCATTCCGCTTCCTTTTTCCGACACCTTCTTTCGCGAACTCTTCCAACTCTCCTTTCCGTCTTTCCCTTGCCCGCCGATTTCCTCGCTAGCTGTACACTCAACTTCTTCTTCGCATACCCCCCGACTATCGAACTCTCTTCGTTCTTCGCCAGCCTCCTTAAACCTAGGAGTTCCCTTTTGCCGGCTTATCTTAATGGTTCGCCCCGGCAATCGAAAGTTTAGTTATTATCGCGGTCGTTGTCGCTCTGGTTTTGCGAGTCGGCTGCCGGCGCGGCGGATCCTATGAAAATATGGTGGCGAGATAGGATAGGAGGAAATTGCCGGTACGACGCGTACCAGATCCCACGCCACGGCGATCCTCTCGGCAGAGATTCAGCCGAGTACGATCGCCGGTTCAGATGAAAAGGAAAGTTGTATTCCCGTTTCCACAAATAATAGAGTTCGCTTCGTTCCCGGTGCGTTCCAACGCAAACAAATGCCAATAATTTTCTATATTATTTTATTATTACGCTCGTTCAATTAAAATATTCTATGTCGTTCGCATTTCTATAAGTGGAGCTTTTTGCATAATGCACAATTTCAAATGAACGGTCGCCATTAGTAGGAACGAAGTACTTGAGATCTGCGACGCACAATATACACAATTACACTTCCCAACAAGTAGTGCAATCAACAAAACACACTAGCGAAATTCAACCATGCACTTTGCCAGCATTCCATGCAACAAGATTTAAGAATTTACACTTTGGTACCGGATTCAATGATTCAAACGCGAAGCGTAACCGGGTTTACAACAAACATTAAGAACCGAGGGTGCTTCTCTCTCTTTCTCTCTCTCTCTCTCTCTCTGTCACCCTGTGTGTTGTTTTTGTCTATGTACGAATCCCTAAGTGCAACTGTGGCAGGCGTTCCGTTAAAACGCTCGTCCCCGAAACACGACGTTGTTTCCGGTGGCACCCTCCCGTCATCCTTCTTTCTCTCTTTCCACCGTTAACATAGATTTCCCGCGGAACTTAAAGTAATAACCGAGCATTGTTCGGCAGGATCGTAATTTCACGGCGTGAAGTTCTACTCGTGCCGGGCGCGCTCCATTTCGCGCTTAACGCGCTAATTTCGCTACATCCGAAATGCAAGTTTATACGTTTCGGCTGCTTGCATAAACATACGTTCGCTTTATCCGGCATAGCTACGCCATTACATCTGTTTGCTTAGAACTCAGCACCGGTGCAGTGGTCTTTGTTATACATATTGCACGTCTGAGCGTAGGTATATGTAGATACGTTCAAGTACACGCGGACCTGGTCAGAATGAACTGCAAATCGACGAGGATACTCAAGGCACTTGTTGCCCAAATCGAAAGTTCGAAATTTTGCACAGAATTAATATAAGTATCAAAGAATATGTGGGTAAAACCTCGGATCGTTTGACCATCCGATTTTTATTCCTTCATTTTATATAACGTTATAATAAAAAAAAATTCATCTTTTTTAATATATGGATTTTTAATATCGAAGAAGTCTTGTATTTTTTTACTTTTAAGCTTTATATTGCCTAATATAATAAGGCAACAATTACCTTAAACCAGAAATTGAAAAAGTGTTCGTCAGTGCTCATTAAAGAAAACTGGCCATTCTTTCGTTTGAATAAACGAAACAATAAATAGTTCTCGAAGTGTAAACGAATGGAAGGAACATTATTTACTTGCAGAAGATTAAATAGTCGAATAGACACGGTATTCTTGTTCTGTGGATACACACTGGTTCACTTAAAACTTGATTTTGAATTCAAACTTTGCCCGACAATTCAGTAGACGCTGTCAAACGTCTGTTTCATCAAGCACAAACTTGAAACTCACTCTCGCTGGTAATCGCATGAATCTTGGGCATAGCAAAACTTGTTCCCGTCGATTCAGCTTATTCCAGAGCTCCTAATCATTCCGTTTCAGGCCGCGAAAAGACCTTGCGCGTGTTATTCCCGCTACGTTCCTCTTCGCGGTTTCTGTATGTATAAATCATGCCCCAGAAAGGAAACCGTCTGTGCAAACAACGCGGTAATGAAATGTTTCCACTGTTACCGCGACGAATAGATGTTTGACGGTAACGTCAACTCATTAGGAACAACTCATTACCATCAAGAGACTAGCTACGAGCGTTCGCTACGCGTTAGTAACATTTTCTCACGCTATTCAATTATACCGAACCTAAGGAATTTCTCGGTGAATGCTCGATGACTACAAGGAAGAGCCCTCGTTTCATACGGATTTCTGAAAGATTTCCCATGACGCAACTCGTGATTTTCAAATGATTCGAAATCTTTCAAATTATATTGATGCTCGTCGGAATCCCAAGTCGATGCCAACTGATTGCTGCGAAGGACGATTGCGATGTGCATATGACCGAATGGTTTTGGGTTTATCTACAGCATCTTTGTGTAAGGAAATTAGGCAATAGAGCAAGTCTAATGGGGACAACTGCATCCCGTCGAAACAGGCCTTTTAATGGAAAAACGAACCTGAACTCAAAATATCATAAGAAACTGTGTGAAGGCGATGGGGGTCTCAGTATTAAAATGTTTGTCCTTAGGTCAATCTTTCTGTAGTTGTCCTTGCGACAACATCGAATAAATCGGAGTGTTTTGCTGATCTCTTAACTATTTAACGCCCACATTCATACATATTTAACTCTCGCATCAAAATATAATTTTACATTTGTAAAATTACACTCTCGAAACTGGGATACCTTGTCATCTCAAGATTGGATTTCCCCGTAGAGTCAGTCGTGCGCGTCATAATTTAATCCACTGTGATGATTAGATCTGTGTTTTCCGGTAATATAATAATTGCTGTGCAAAATATCCGAAAGATTTGCTACAAACTTGCAGACGCGCACGTCTGACGCTGTGAGGAAATCCTGAAATCCTGGAAGTTTCTGAAAACAATTGACATTTCGTTCGCAAGTAGAGAAATAGACAGTCGCATTTCTAAAGTGCACATAAAATTACAGGTTATGCGTGAGTGAAATTCGAAATATTAGTTTAGGATTTCGTGGAGATTAGTAATAATGGCGAGGAGACGCGTCCAGTTAACAACGTTGGGTAAACAATTTGGAAAATGGGATCTGGACAGAATTGGTATATTTTTTCGAATTATTACAATTTCTTATCATCTTATATATTTTCAACTATTTCAATTGCTTTCCTTCAATAACTTTTTAGTAATCACAATATCGTATTTTCTAGGCTATTTTCAAGATGAAAATCCGGCGCCCTTCGGCGAGTATACAGGAAAACCGGTTCTGTTTCGCGAAGGTATCAATGAAGGCCGCCAAATGTTCCCGGGGCCACGGACCGATTTATTTGAAGAGAAATTCGTGCGGATTTTCCATGGTGAGGCACTGAACGAGCCGTGGCGCATCGAAGCTCAAGAACGGGTAATCATATGATATAATTAAGTATTAATTTATATTTCATTTCAATAATGTTATCAATAGTTCTCACAGACAATTCTTGCGTTTAAAAGCCAATTCATATAAATTACGGTCATATCGTTTGAAGTTAATATTGAAATTACGCATGGTTAATTTAATATCATTTTTCCAATAAAACTTAATTAGAATTGGTTTTGCAGTTTTAGTTTGAATCGTAAAGAAGCCAACCTGATACATCAACCGTTTCGTAGTTGCAACGGGACAAGGATAAGATTGGCGGTCATTTATTACCACCCGCGCCCGCCAAAAAGCACTCGACGCCGGGTGATTGGCACGGATGTTTTGAGAAAGTCACTTACTTCAGCCCTGCGGTTAAGAAGAGAGTGAAGGGAGTCCCTGAACTTCCGAACGTGAGGATTAAACCTAATCCTCGTGGAGGGCCAGGATACCCCGACATTTGTCTCAACCCTTTCCCGTCCTATTCCCACGAGCCTTATGATATACCAAGAAAACGAGGTAAGAAAATCAATCGATCTGCAATCTTCATACTCTTATTCTCAATATATTTGAATTTCAATAACTAGTTATGTGACTTTCCTAACATTTGTTAATGTTAATAATTGTTAATATATATATAATAATAAATAATATTTAATGGTTAATAAATGTTAATAATTGTTAATATAAATATTAATAAATAATATTTAATTGTTAATTAATCTTTCACGTTCTTTGCACTATTTCACCCATAAAATATGTTTACGTCATTTAATTCTATATTTTTATTTCGCACGGAATTAAAAGGAAATTCGCTTTTATGTTTAATTTAAGGTATATATATTCTAGGACGCTCCTTAAAGCATAAGTCGTGATAATTCATAAATATATATAATAAAATTTTTTACTTTGCCTCTTCATTGGTGGTTTTGCGCCAATGTATATTTTTCCTTGTAATATTTAGCACACAGTAGAGGTATAACAGTCATATTGCCTCGGCTAGGTTTTAATTTTACCACTTCCCATACCGCACTTCTTATTTCACATTTCATGTTCATTACCTTTTTTTTTCAAGAACGGTAGATGCGACAGACAATATTGCCGAGCAAGAAAGTAATATAAAGAGAGCCTGTAACGCGGAAGAAGATTGGAAACTCTCGGGTTTTACCCTCGCTTCCGCTTTGCTTCTTTCGGCAGAATTTTGTTTCCCGTGCTAGCGCAACTAATTACATTTTTGTCGTAAGGAAAGCGGGGAAAATGAAACCACGTCACTCGCTTAGGCGCGCTTTCCGTCTCACCTCCTACCTCTCTTGTTTCCTCCTACGCTCTATACAAGCTTTCAAGCTTCAGTTGAGACTATTTTAAGGGTTACCGGAGGCGGAGTTTGAAAAAGCCATTCATTGGATTAACCAGGGTACCGCGTTAATTAGGTACAACCAGCTTTGTAGCGTGTCGCGTTTAATAAAGATGCTTTCACAATTCTATTAAAATTTTATTCAGAAGCCTCATAGCCTTGGAACGATTTTTGTACCGAAACACAGAACTACTGTGTTGACAAAAAACATCTCGTACTATTAACATTCTACATCTATGAAGTCAGGAAAAAATTTTCAATCACATGGTTATATTGTTTACTTTTTCGTATACAGTTTTACAGAGAAATTTGATTTAAAAGAGTATGATTAATTTTTTAAACTTCTTTATTCACCCGATAATTTTATTTTCTCAATTGCGACAGGGAAACCGATTGGCCGATTTCTTTATGCGAGCGCAACTCAGGATTATTTTCCGCCAAATCCTTACCTCGCCTTGGACACTGGACCAACGTACGTGCGTCCAAAATACATCCCGCCAAAAATGATTGGCCCCGGTCACATATACGTTCAATTCCCGAAGAAACCTGGTGGAAATCATTCAGGTTGTTTCAATAAATTCCCTGAGTACCCGACCGCGTCGTATTACAAGGAGATCGAAAGAGAAAAGAAGGAGGTTGCCGTGTTCGTTGCTGGCGGACCACCCCGTCGATCTAAGTACACTAATAGTATCGTGGATCAAGTTACCGGTATATCCTGTAACTCGACGAATTATGCTACTTATCGGGAACAAGTTTATCCTTTGGACAAATAACATTCATTTCCACGTGACATTGTTGTTTTTTTGAAAGTTTTTAATATGATTCGTGCATGTGTGTATTTGTAATTTTGATATATTTTCAATATAAAAATTCTCTCAAAAAAGTATCTTATTTATGATTAAGATCTGTGACCACATTTTCAGCATATTAAACTACAACAAGCTTCAACTAACAAATATTCATTTAACAATAGTCTTGGATACTCGTTATTTTTGGAGTTCCAAATGTTAAAACGCATTCTACAAAAAAATTCTCACAGAAATTCGAGCACTAAGAATTGTTATTATTTACTAATTATGTACAAATTAATTCGAATTTACTGTTAATATTTTTTGGGATGAAAGTTTTAGCATTTGGAGTCTTAGGTACCATTGAAAAGTTGAAGACTAGATCGGTACGCTGCTGGGTTTACAGCGTGCCATCACGACTTCTTTTCTTAAAAGTGTGAGGGGCAGCAACCCCGCTGTTTTACGAGAGTTGCTATACCTTCCCCTCGACTTTACCTGACGATCCAAAAATCTTTTATAAGAACGAAAAGTGCAGTGCCTCAAACCCATATTTTTGGCCACTTTTGTGGGTAACATCGACGTTCCGTCTTATAGCGCCGATATCGGAGTTTACCCTTAAAAAGTACAAAAACAAATGTGCAGAGGACTTGCACCGAAGACGCAGTAAGTACTTTCGGTTCGATGGCAGGTTGAAAAATTGTCCTAGCTTGTAAGCCTAACGGTATATAAGAAATGGCGTTACGACGCGATGCGACGGATGTGCAGGTATGATTCTCCAGAATCTATTACGTGGCTGAAGTCGGCCATTTCTCCGTTGGCGTGTCGTTGCGCTGGTATTAAACATTCCAGGCATTGCGATACCTTCCACCGTCGCCACCTCTGCTCCTTCCCGACCTCGAACAGCCTTCGCTTGGAAGAACGCGTGCACCCGTCTTGGACTGGCACCAGAGATGGCACCCTTGCGCGATCACACGTACACCTTTTGCGTGCACGTACGCCGACGTTCGCGTCTGCACGCTAGATTCTCCGCTACCAAGACAGGTAGAGAGCAAAGAGGATCGGGAAATATGCCAGTTCGACGAATCCAGTGAAATCTTGCAGAACGGTCTCGTTCCACCAGGAAAAACCCATCGCACCGAGTAGGCGCTTTGCAGAAGCGCAATACCGACCGGAAACGATTTAGTACATGCGATCGTCGCACAGCAAGGATTTTATAGTAAAACACTTTCCGATGGCTAACGAATTGCTTTCATCTTCTCTTCAATTTGTATTTTGTTTTTCTCTATATTTTTTTTTAACCATATTATGTGAATCGGAAAATTGAAAAAAAATTGCTGCTCGTCAGAATCTCGGGAAAAGAGAATAAAAATGTGATCTAACTAAATTATATGCATGTATAAAATTTTATCGAAATCAGTGAAAGTATAAAAATGTTAAACACATCGAAACATGTAAAAATTCTTCAATTTATCTCTCAACCGAATGTAATTTAAGAGACAAGAGAATATAAGATGAAAGGTCTAGCTTTTATATCTCTCCTATGATATGGGTTCACAGGGGCAAACTTATCGTCTTTATATGGCAAGATCTTTGAACTGTCACCTACTTCCTTGGAAAGATGAGGTTTTAAACTAGTTCGTGCTGATCATTATTTAACAATATTTGTTACAAAGTAACAAAAATCGTCGATCACACAGTTGTTGTATGCGTTTTTATGTTCATTAAAGACTGTTTGCTAAAAACGAATATTAAGTTGTGCTAGATTTAATTTTCCTTTTCTGAGAAGGTGCTTGACGAGCCAAAAATCTTCTTACATAGGAGCGAAAAGCTCGGTTCTGTAAACGCATATGCATTTTGCACAGCTTTTGCCTGACTTATCGATAAAAGAGAGCAAAAAACGTGAAACCGATCATATGACGAAAGGTCAGTCCTTTGACGAAGCCAGAAAAATTCCTACCTATACGTTTATGCTCGAGGCCAACGACGGACTTACCGATAAAAAACACGGACAGGTCTCAATTTTTCGCTGGCGCATGATCGCAAAACAGGACTGGAAGGATCATCGTGACGAACGATATTCCTTTTTAGCGATCCATCCTCGAGTGGAGAACTCTGTGTGTTCGTTCAGCAGAAAATTCCGTTCTCGTAAATTGTAAGGGCTAATACCGAATCAAGAAACGTCTCAAAATAATAATTTCCCGCACAAGAATTTTTCCCGATTAAACGAGATCTATATAGTTGCAAATTATTTTCCTGTGTTACTGGATATTATTAATGCCCTAAAATATTAAAAGATTTATATCGACATATTATATCGGAAATAGGCAGACTATTTTCCAAATGAAAATCGTATCTCCGTACATTAATTTTGCTTTTATGATTGAAAGCTACGGCGGGTACAAATTTCGGGCTCGTTTCCCTAAAATTCATCGCTTCGGTGAGCGCGTAACGCGGTTTTATAATTAAGGCCAACGAGATTAAGCGATTTCATCTTCCCATTACATCGGACGAGCGATGAAAGGCAGCTCGAGTACCGGTCACAAAGAATAATAGTCCGTCTTGAAGTGCGCATCCCCGGCTTGCAGGTTTTTTCTGTGGGAAATCGAACGAGCCAATGCTACTATAGCCCATTTTGAACCTTGGTTCAGGGAAGGGATTTACTTTCGGTGATCGCATTGTCCAATTCTGGAAATGCTCGGAAGCCTTTGGAAACTGGTGGGCACGTTTGAATTTCACGTGATCGATCGTACTACCAGCGTTGCTTTACTGGTAGCGCGGCATTTCCAGAACGTAATACCGGACACGATCGTTGGGATCTCTCTATGCCCTGCCATTGCGTCATGCGCAGCCTATCAACACGTTCCGTGGTCGTACGTATCATTAGAGCAATACCGGCAAACTTGAAGTTGAAATATTTTACGATTCGACTTAAGTTAAATTGGTTATCAGTGATATTGTTCAATGTTATTGCGCCGTTATTATCTTCAAATTGGTACTTATACGAATTCATAGTGACGTCTTACAATTCCTGTTCAAAGTCTGCGAGAAAATGGCCACGTGTGGCAAGAGTTACATAAGAGTTTTGTAATACAAAATCATGGAGGGAGTAAAAATGGGGTCAAAAGAAATACGGGAGGGAACGGGGCATTGAGATTGAAGATGGAGCGGTTCGGAATTTGAAACGAAAGAAGGGCAGGTTATAGAGGTAAGCATTGGTGGTTGAGCGCATCCGAACGAGCTTTCAGAGCGAAAGCTGCCGTAAAGCCAGACGTTTCAACGAACGTTAAGAATATCAATCTCCACGAGGCTAAAACCGGCATATACATTGTAAGACTGGGTTGAATGGGTATCAGCGGGTGATCCCGAAGAGTATCGAATACTGCGTAATATCCCGGTTATTATCCCTAGAGTAAACTGAAAACCGAGTCGCGGATTCACTTGATGCCGGCCGAGTGCTGATTAGCTTATAAATCGCCTAAAGTTGTTAATTCACTAGTAAGAGTGCGGTTTACACTCAATCATCTTTCAAGTAGTAGACATATTATCGTAGCTTAGATGTAATTAACATCTAGAACTGTCAAACCAGTCAAAATGAGTGGAAAAATGCGTGTGCAGGATGGGGCATGAAATATGTCCACCGGTATTTCATTTAAAAAAATAGAGATGATCTTGAAACCTCCTCTGTGCCTTCACCCACGTAAAATGTTATCACGATGTGTCCCTCTCTATACCTACAGTGCAAGTTTTGTATACAACATTTTTCATATTACTACAAAAAATGACAATATTCAAAGTGGACGTAGTTAGTGTCCCAGCATTTATAAGAAAAGTCGGTAGCTCTAATGTTAATATTAAGTGGAGATAATTAAATAACTTTTGATTTATTCCGACGTTATTCCGTTCTGAAACGTGTCCGAATATTGATGGAAGTCAGTGTAAATGAAAAATAAGATTGCCTGAATTTCAGTTCTCTAATTTTCTATTGCCTCAATGCATGTCCGTTACGTACTTAATATCATTTGCAAACAGAGAGGAATATAAACGCAGATTGAAATCATAACAGTGTCAGTCAAATGTTTAACGTCGGCTTGCACAGAATCGTATTTAACTACGTATCACGTTATACATACTACTTTCTCGCTTTCAGGTAACAGCGGTAACGCAGTAAATCAAGTTGTTGCTCGAAGTTGAACCGCGTATACACCAAACTATATTATATATCGTTCAAGTGTATCTTACTGCGTACAGAAATACGTTGCTTGTACACTATCAAATTATACAGACCGCGTGTGCAACGTTTAATTTTGTCCATCAAAATATTTGAGGTTCTGAACAACGAGTGTATTAATTTACCTAAGAAAGAAATAAACAGTGATTTTCAAACGCCTTTTTTATCTGCAATGCTGTTAATATTATTATATGTTTTGATTAATCATTATTTAAACTAATAGCAATTTTTTCAAAGGAATTCTGGAAATACTTTTTGTTCATGAAAAATATCATGTTCTTCGTGCTCACATTGCTCACACGTAAATTGATTGCTGTCAATATTCATTAATTACGCTTCAGCAATTTAAACCAAATGCTGATGAGCCATTCACATTTGTCTGTTCCGATTCAATTACTTCAGTTAATGATCTTTCATTTCTAATTCTACCAATTCACGGTCTTCCCCGTTCTCACAATTCTGTAATACTCCGCGCATTAATTCATAGAATATTGTATAGTTAGTATTGTATAGAATGTTGAATAATTTATAACAGTATTAAGTAATAATTGTTATTCATTGTCTAAAAAAGAATAATTATTAAATTAATATCTGCGCAAACTCACGGGTTGCGTGGAATATAATTGCGCTTTCTGTGAATTAGGTCGGAAATAGGCGTTTAAAACAAATTCGTTTCCATGAACAACGAAGCGGAAGAGAACGCGATTGGAATCAAGAGTTGCGGGATACAATTTCCGGATGCATATCGTATGGCAAA